AAAAAAGAAAAGAACAAAAAGTAAGTATGTGTTTGTGGTACAGCCGCGGATCAGTTATTCACTGCAAACGCATCATATGTGAAAGCACTATAGCGCGCGTTGCTCCTGCACTGCAAACGGGGTATGTGTGAAACGGGCGTTAGATTATGGATCCACCTACAGTTCTTATAAACTTAGATGTGTTTAACAACTCTTTTTTTCGTACAACAGCAGCACTCATCTTGTTCGGTTGCGGATGAACAGCCGTAAACCGGAAACTGACATGCCGACTTCTGACAATAGCGGAAGTTCGAAATTACGCTGGTGCACATAGCCTATAATCGCCGTTGCTGAGTTTCCTATCATTTATGACATGACGTTGTTTGCTTATAGGGACCGTGAGAGCGCAACTTTTATTTGAAATATTTACGATCGCTCGTTTTAAAGCGGGAATGCAATTCATTTGCTCACGGTGACACCGATTTGACCGCAAATAATAAAAATAATAGTTCTATTCTTTTTTCCCCGACCAAATGTGACCAAAACGGTTATAAAAATGCTGTCATTATAAAAGGTTTCTTTAATGTATTGCTAGTTTTTTTCTGTTTATTACATTTTATGTTGTGACACTTCTATTCTCCCTGCAACGTCAGAGCGTTCAAAGCGTCCAAAACGTCAACAAGCTTCCCCGTACTTTTTGACAAGCGTCCTTGACAGGGCGGCCAGAGCTTCTTTGACGCTCAAGTCGGCGGCGGTGTGAACGTACAGTAACGGTTCGAGAGATATGCGATTAACAGACAGACACACACACACAGACAGACAGACGTTCCTGTAATTTATAGATAGATAGATGGAACAAATTCACAGCTCTCAGATTCTGTCAATTTGATTACGAAATTCTACCAATACCGCTTTTGGTGCTTTTAAATGTGACAGATGCTGTAGCACCTCAGTTTAAATGGCACGTGAACCGATCATCTCTCTTCACTAGCCTAGTTAATAGTAAATAAACACAAATGATCAATTCATACTTTGCAGTCACGTGACTACCATGGATACCAGGCGGGCAACAAACGCTGACAAAATGGCGACAAACAGTGGCCAACCAGGGGAATTGCAAACTTGCAAATTTCCAATACTACAATCAATTAACTATTTAGACAATATGTCACCGAATGTTAAAATTAGATATCAAGAAAAGATTAACATACTCGGAACGTGTGATCCATACACAGCACCCGCTGATGTTTTCATTGCTTTGAAGCAGGCAAAGTCTCTACCAGACTTGGAGTTTGGAGATATTTACATATATCTTATAGAGAATCCGTCACCTTACACCGCACAAAAAAAATGAAAGCCTACAAAAGTACAGATAGCTATCTTTTTTTCAAGAATGGATGGGTTAACAACGCTGTCGTGGGAGGTGAAAAACAGGAATATCTTCATAATCAAAGCAAAGGTCCGTTTGCTTATGTTTGCAGGTACACAAAGTGACATCTGTTCCATTGTGTGATGAAGTCTTCATCTGAATATCTACACCCTGCCTGCCGGCGAATGACAGCTTGATAAGTAGTACAAAATAAAAACTTATGCCAACTGTATCATATATGGCTAGCAGGATGTCAAAGATTGTAACCTACCTGCTTATCCACTCCACATAGCATCAGACAACAGACAAGAGCAGCTGGGGCAGCGAAATGCATAATCATGTTAGCAATCTGTTAGGCTGTAGTATAGTAATAAGTGTACAATAGTATGCGTAAAGTAACAGTAATGTGTCATTCATTTTCCATGTATTCTTCTCATATCATATCAAATCACGTACAGATGAACGCGTTCTCGACACCTACTGGCGAACGTGTAAGCACATTTATGTTAAGAATACACGATTGACATAGTGCATCCAATCGCACAACAACTATCTGGCAAGTCGTTTACACCTCAAAACACCAACTTTTGTATATTAAAACTGGCGACGTCCTGGCAAGATCCTTGATTAGTTTACCGGGTTTCGTTGCTAGAGAACGATGTTCTTGCCCGCCAGCCAGTACTTGTGACGTCACGTGCAAAGTACGAATAGGTGTGTGTTGAAAGATACAGTAACTTACCGAAATGCCTCATACATACTGTAATATCGATTTTTCAACTGTGGAAAGAGGTCAATAAAATAGCTGGAGTATGTCACATAACGTTACATTTACCTCAGGAAAGCCATTTAATGACCATGTAAGTTGGCTAGAAAAAAAATATATATTTTATACTTATATTTAGTATTAGTATAGATGAGTAGGCCTATTTTGCTAAATATGTTCACTATATTACTTATATCATTAAAATATTATAAAGTTGTTTTAATAAAAACCGCATTAGGCCTATATTTAATTTGAGTTGTTATTTTTAACCTTTAATAATACCAGCTGACAGGGCTCTCTGTCTATGTTTACAGCATTAGGTGCGATTTTGTTTTTTGAGAAAAATTAACATCTACTGTAGCCTATATGTTTATGTATCCAAATTGAATCAAGATCGGAATAAAACCACAAGAATTAAATTGAAATTGTAAAATTTGTATCAAGCAATAATAAAAGCAGTATAGCCTACCAATTATAGACACTATGCTGTCACTAAACTTAATACAAGTATGTGTAGTTAGGCTATTAAATGGTTTGACAACCACAATAACCTACACTTATAATGATGCAAGGTTTTTTTAAAACATCCCCCTCCCCCATCCCCCCATCCAAAAATCTCACTCCAGGCTGAACTCAAAAGTTGGCAGCTATGCAACACAACAGCTTACATTCCTTTTAGTATGCAAAAGTTTACACAAATTTGAAATTAAATCATTATTAAAAGACTCTTAAGTGTACATACTCAAATTACAATGCAAATCCAACAAGCATGTAAAATGTGCTTGATAGTCCTATCCGTATGCATGTCTACAACACCATGATATATGATAAACACGAAAGAACATTCATAACATGATTGATTTAGCATTAACCCTTAAAGACAATACTTTTTCAAGAGTAAAGTATGGATGGAGATAGATATCATGTGCTCTCTCAAATGCCTCACAACAAAATGACTATGGAGCGAATTATGTGCCATAATTAAACCAACGAATCCAGCATTTTGCAAACAAACTCAATCTGCTTTGCAAAGGAAAACAATTTGCAAACAAACAGAAAGCAATGTTTATACAAAAAATACAAAGGTCAATTAGAGCAAAAACGCAGTGGAGTAACAAATATTGTGTTTTACAAATATATAAATAAATGAGCCTAGATAATTTTTCACAAATAAATACAAACCATCCTACAAATTGCATGTAACCTTTGAACAAATACCAAATCTAGCGCACACAGATGCATATCGGTCTGTTATGATTGTGAGACACTTGGCTTTTTATGAGATCTCTTGCCTCGATTTTCTCACAAATGCAGTTGAGCAACTTCCTCCTCTAAAACAGTAGATGGCGCTAAGCTAGGGGATTAATTTAGCATAGTCTCCCAGGAGAAGCACTGATTTGAAACGGCCACTGGGTCTGTTTGTTTAACATTGTTGAAGACAAAATGCCACATGAAAAACAGATAATTAGATCTGTGATTTTACACAGATATCATACAACATATGAGAACCAGAGAAATATTTGCACGTGTCCAATGTAGAAAAAAAATGTAAAAAGCAACATATGATGGCAGAGCTTTCAGCTTAGATTCCCCTATCCTAGAGAGAGTGAAGTGCTACTAAGTGCTAATGTGGATTTAGATATGTAATAAACCTTTAGCAAAGGAAAACCTCAAGATGTTTATTAAGACAGAAACTCATCTGTTCACCGCTCATTTTCCTCAGCTGTATGCAAAGGCAAGCGCGTTTCAAATCACTGCTTCTCCCGGGAGACTATTGCTAATCAGTCCCCTATTTTAACGCCATCTAGGCTACTGTTTAAGAGGAGGAAGTTGCTCAACTGCATTTGTGCGAAAATCTTTTACTGTCTATGGAAAATCTGCCAGGACACATTTGTGAGAAAATCGAGCCAATAGATCTCATAAAAAGCCAATGTCTCACAATTGTAACAGACATAATACATTTGTGTGCACTAGATTTGGTATTTGTTCAAAGGTTATACAATTTGTAGGATGGTTTGTATTTATTTGTGAAATATTATTTAGGCTCACTTTTTTTATATATTTGTAAAATATATATGTTTTGGCTAGAAATTGACCTTTGTATTTGAACATTGCTTTCTGTTTGTTTGCGAGTCGAGTTTTCTTTTGCAAAGCAGATCGAGTTTGTATGCGAGTCGAGTTTTCCTTTGCAAAGCAGATCTTGTTTGTTTGTTTAATTATGGCACATAGCACATGCTCTACTTAAGGGCATATTACCTCTAGGGTTCGCTAAATTGCAAACTGGAGCAGGGAACAGCATTATTGCAGCAAAGAGCAAACACATTCTGCTATGGCAACGTTGCGGTCTATGTGCTCGCAACATTGTAACAACGTACCCGACAGGGCTGTAGCAACGTTGTTGCGCGACATTCAGCAACTGAGAGACGATGTTCTGACAATACTTTTTTTTTATATGCTAGATATAGATATCCCCCATTTAGCATGTTATGTTTTGTGGTTAATTTTTAATTAGTCATATGTTAGATAATTATATTTTTAAATATCGTTTATCCTTATTATTTATGGGCCTAACAGTAAATTAATTATAATCAACACCTGCAAGTGTACACTTTGAAGAGTAAAAATGACATAGAGGGTTATGTCACAGGTCGGGGCGGGCCAATCGGGCTGCACCCACCCCTCAGGACCAGTACCACCCTTGGGGAGTCGGACAGAGGCCAGGCAAGAAGGACAGACAACAAGACTTCAAAGGAATAATAATTTATTAAATATAAAATAGGATAAAAGATTTAAAGGTTGAGTCTTCTGCACAGGGTCGTTCCGTCCGAGGACAATCCAGGTGCGCGTTTCAGGTATGTACTCTTCTTCACGGTGACAGACGGAGAGCTTATGGCTGGAGGCCTCAGGCTGGAGAACTTCAGGCTGGCGAGCTTCACTGCAAAGCAGACAGGTGAGCATATGGGCACGTACTCTTCTTCACAGGCGACAGACAGAGGACTTACGGCTGGAGAGCTTCTCTGCAAAGCAGACAGGTGAGCATACGGGCACGTAATCCTCTTCTTCACAGGTGACAGACAGGGGACTTACGGCTGGAGAGCTTCTCTGCAAAGCAGACGGGTGAGTATACAGGCACATATTCCTCTCGTGGGGCCGGCAGACGCAGAGCTTGCAGCGGGAGGGTTTCGCTGCGAACAGACAGGTGAATATACAGGCACGTAAATTAATCCTCTTCTTTCCACAGACGACAGACAGAGAACTCACGGCTGGGGGACTTCACTGCAAAGCAGTCAGTCGAGCATTCACCCACGTGTTCCTCTTCACAATAGGCACTGTCAGATAATACACTCAATTGTCTGTGGAGTACAACAGTGTTAGCCTCTTCTTATATCTTCAGAACGTGATAGAAAACTCAGGTAAGTAATGGACATCCAGCGGGTTTAAGTTCACACTTCACACATCAAAACAGTGCATCACATCACTTCATCTCAGCACTCCGTGGGAAATACACATATAGAGGGCCGTCACCCATTTTCTGACCTGGCATTCACATCAAGGAGTCCCGTAGACACGAGAGAGGAAGATGGAGATTGATTGGACTACTCACAGTCTCTCGTAAACGATCTCAATGTCCAACGATTCCCTCCTTCCCGTTGAGTCGGCGTGCTCTTTCTCCCAAACTCACAGTGCCGCGCCCGTTTGCCGGCCCCACTTCTTCTTCTCCAATGCTCACGCTTCCTCCGAGATCACAGTCCCCAAAACAACACCACCCTCCAGTCTGTACTCTCTCCTCTTAAGGCCAATTTATACTTCTGCGTCGAGTGTACGCCGTAGTGTACGGCGTGGGCTACGCACGTAGGCAACGCCGTCATGAGCATTTATACTTCTGCGTTTAGGTCTGCGTTGCTCTGCAGTACAGCGCCGAAACGCTAGTTGGCGGCGGAGGGTTTTAATGTTCCACTGTGTTTAGATTCCTCGCGGCAAGAAGAAGAAGATTCCTCGCGGCTGTTTTGAGTTTAGGTTACTACAAGCAATGCCGACTGAAAGAGAGCAGATCATGTTGGAGTTGGAGCTTATCGAGGTGGAAAAGGTAAATTTTTAGTTTTTTTAACAGTTTCGCTGTACTTAGAATTTAAAAATGGCGGGCGGTGCAGAAGAACACGCCGGAAATGCATAGGAGGAAACGCGATGCTCCCAAGCCGACCAATCACAGATCTTGCGGTCCGCGTCGTCGCGACGTGTAGTTACATTTTTGAGGAGGTGCGCGTCAGGTTACGGCGAAGGGTACGGCGTATGGTACGCGTCTGTGCGTATGCTACGCCGTACGTACTGCGCGCACCCGACGCAGAAGTATAAATTGGCCTTTATCCTCCCCTAAGGGCAACGTGTCCCAATCGCGGAGCTTCACTCCTTTTTAAGCCGGTGTTCCATTGTTATGAGTCCGGCGGGAGGCAATTGCGGCGAACATTAGTTCCGCCTTGCACGGAGACAAAAGATGAAATTTCGTCACCTCGTGACAGTTAGCCAATTCAACTTTTTTAAGCATATGGTAATCAAATTGCACTTCCAAAAGTCATACATTTGTGAGAGAAAAAAACATATTATATACAGGGAGGGACTAACGTTAGTATGAGCAGACATGAGACAATCTAGCAAAGAAACGAATGAGACAAAAAAATCAAAGGAAAAATAAAGGTATGCGAGCGGTTTCCCAAAAAAAAAGGGAAAAAAAATTAACGTGCAACATGTACGCGCTTAGTCGCTGCCTGTTCAAGGAGTGCTGGAATCAATTAGGCCTACTCATCATTAAAGTAAATTTGGCTTCATTATGGCTTATAACTTTTGGCATAAAGTTAAATATTTATCATACCAACCTGACCAGAAGATGTTCAAATAAATGTCACATTGGACAAGGAAGTTGTGTTTGTATAATTCCGTATCTTATTTAGCTGAGGTAAATTAAACGCAATTCTCACGTATTTGCTTGATGATGAATGAGACGGCCCAGCGGTTGGTTGAAATTTAAAAGGCTGATTTTCGCGCTTCAGGGCGGTGACGAGTACATATGTTGTCCAGTGGTTGTCCAGACACTCTATAGCACAACAACCTTAAAGGGTTAGTTCACCCAAAAATGGGTGAACTATTCATTAATGACTCACCCTCGTGTCGTTCCAAGCCCGTAAGACCTGTTCATCTTCGGAACACAGTTTAAGATATTTTAGATTTAGTCTGAGAGTTTTCTGTCCCTCCATTGGAAATGTATGTACGGTATACTGTCCTTGTCCAGAAAGGAAATAAAGACATCATCAAAGTAGTCCATGTGACATCAGTGGGTTAGTTAGAATTTTTGAAGCATCGAAAATACAATTTGGTCCAAACATAACAAAAACTACGACTTTATTCAGCATTGTATTGTCTTCCGGTTCTGTTGTCGAGCCGCGTTCAGTGACGCTGATGACGTAAGACGCTGCTGATGTGTTATCTGGTGCGTCCGTGTATTGGGTTCAAATAAATATGGCTGGGCAAAAAAAATGCAAGTCTTCCTCTGTGTCGAAATCCTTAGACATGTTTTGTTTACAGCGTGCGTCTCCCTCAGACTGTAAACGAAGCTCGGGCGCACCAGACACACGTCAGCAGCGTCTTACGTCATCAGCGGCACTGAACGCGGATCCACAACAGAACCGGAAGACAATACAATGCTGAATAAAGTCGTAGTTTTTGTTATTTTTGGACCAAAATGTATTTTCGATGCTTCAAAAAATTCTAACTAACCCATTGATGTCACATGGACTACTTTGATGAAGTCTTTATTTCCTTTCTGGACAAGGACAGTATACCGTACATACATTTTCAATGGAGGGACAGAAAGGTCTCGGACTAAATCTAAAATATCTTAACCCTCTGGGGTCCTTCATTTCAGAGTCACACTCAGGACCTTCGGGTCCAAATGGGCCGGAAGGGTGGGATTAATATTTATTTTTTTAAAATCATCTTTTTTTTTTTACTTGTTTTTTATAATATTTTTTCGTTTCTTTTTTGGTGTTTTGAGATAATTTCAAAAATAAAAATGATTTGTAATTAATATTAATGCAATAATTATGACCCATTTTTCGCCATTGAATATAATAGATTTTTTTTTTTTTTTTTTTTTTTTTTTTTAAAGCTGTATTTCATTTTAGAGTCAAGCCTAGGCCTCATGAAAGCAATTTTTGAAATGAGATGGATGCCATCTGGTGGACAAACTGAGCATTTAAAAAATTCAAAACCCATATGTAATCTGAATTTATTAGTGTGTGTGTGTGTGTGTGTGTGTGTGTGTGTGTGTGTGTGTGTGTGTGTGTGTGTGTGTGTGTGTGTGTGTGTGTGTGTGTGTGTGTGTGTGTGTGTGTGTGTGTGTGTGTGTGTGTGTCAGAGAGATACTAATATAAAAATCTTCAAGTAGACTCTAATATAATATAATATAATCATATATTTTTTCTTCAACTTATTAAAATATCTGACTTTACTGCCACCAACTCTTTCTGCTTCTCTATCATATTTATAGTGTGTGATTTGCAAGATACCTATCATAGCCTGCATCACATATCATAGGGTGACCAGACGTCACGTCCCCGGTTTTGTTTGCCTGTCCCTAAATACAGAAAAAAAAACTACCTCTGTCCCCGTCTTGTTTTTGAAGACACAACATTAGGTTTTTCAATCAGATTGATAGTCAAACTGGAAATGTCCATGTTTTTTCCCCCTTTTCAGGGATTATGTTCCCAGTTTTGATCTCGGACGTCTGGTCACTTTAAATCATATATCAGAATATTCTATTACTGTTAGGCCCACTATAAATATTAAAATACACCGAACCATGTATCCTGTATCATAGCTACATTTGACCTTTGCAGCAACAACAAAAAAAACAGCGTGAAAATCAGTTTGGTACTCAGTTCGGTATGATTAATTAAACACGCAGATTACAAATTACAATGAGTGGAGCGGGTGACCGGTCCAAGATGGCGGCCCCACGGCTCGTCAGCATCAATAGGTAGTAGCGGTCGATAGGGCATCTACTCTCTATTATGTCTATGGTCTATATCTTACTACACCTAGAAAGTATCAGTTCCATCAAAGGTTACACTCTACACTACGCTCATGACCTCCTTATAATCCCCATCCACTGAATTGGCTCTATCACTCTCTCTCCTCTCTCCTCCTGTTGCTGGTGTGTGGTGAGCGCACTGGCGCCGTTGTACTGTGGCTGCCATCGCAGTGGATGCTGCACACTGGTGGTGGTTGAGGAGAGATTCCCTGATATGATTGTAAAGCGCTTTGGGTGTACAGTAGTACATATACAGCACTATATAAATGCCTCATTCATTCTATATTCTACACTGTCTTTCAAAAATTGTATGGACCAGTTTTATACTATGCAGATTGTTAAAATAGTACCTTTTAAAAACTTAATGTAATTGGTACAATAATTAAAATTTTGAGAATAAAATGCAGAAATTGTTAAAAGAAAAAAGGGTTTGGTAAGTTCTGATGTTTAATTAAACATATATGGAGTGCATTTCTTGACATGAAGTATGTGAAGTCATGATACATTTGCAATGTACTGTTTGTATTCACTCCTTACAGAACTGTGATAGAAATGTTTTATTAATGTTTGATCATCTCTTATTAGACTCCAGCAGAGAGGATCTGTGTGTTCAGTCATGGACAGGAGTCTGTTTGTGCTGCTGCTGCTGTCAGGTTAGTGTGATCATGTGTAATCTGTATTTATGATGATGTGTACACATAGATGGTTTAACATTTTGATTTTAACAGGGCTCTTCTGGAGCAGTTCTGCTCTTTCTCGTCAGTACCACTATATAAATGTGAGAATGTCGTGGCCAGAGGCTCAGAGTTACTGCAGAGAGAAGTACACTGACCTGGCTACTGTAGACACCATGGATGATGTGAACAGGCTGGTGAATATAGTGGATGCTGGATACAGTGGATCAGTGTGGATTGGACTGAAGAGAGGGACACAGAAACGTTGGGCTTGGTCTAATGGAGAAAGCAAATCTTCCCTGTACTTTAACTGGGGTTCAGGAGAGCCAAATGAGAATGCAGATTGTGTATCTTCTTATTCCGGCTTATGGTTTGATATGGAATGTAACTATCTCAAATATTTTGTTTGCTACAAGGGTGAGTTCCCTGTTCTTTTAAATGTATTATTGAGCAGTTTAACTGGGAAAGAACAGCTATGAACTTATTCTTTTTTTGCATCTCTCAATAGAAAATAATGGATACATCTTAGTAAGGAGCGCTAAAAGTTGGAGTGATGCTCAGAGATACTGCAGACAGTATTACACAGATCTGCCCACTATCCACAACCCTGAGGAAAATAAACAGATAACCAAGATTCTTTTATCTGGATATTACATCTGGATTGGTCTGTTCCAGCACTCTTGGGAATGGTCTGACAAATGGAGCCGCTTCTTTAGAAACTGGGCAGCAGGACAACCATCCCAGAGTTCAGGATCTGGTGACTGTGTCGGCATGTCAAGAACCAATTCTGGGAAATGGGCTCAATACAGCTGTGATCTGGAGTATCCTTTTATCTGCCATGGATGTGAGCATCTAATAATTTAGATCATGTTAGACAGAATGACTATCATTTCATATTCTGAATAGAAATATTGTCCATAACTGAATTTAACTGTGAGTGTGTACAAGCACAACAATGCACTGATCACAATTTTTTTTTTTTAAATGTAATTCTAAAAACCTGACACTCAAAACAGCACAATATATTTGTTTACTTTTTATTTCAAATAAATTATAGACTAACCTATACAGAAAGCATGCAAGGAAGCTGTGGCTTCACAAACAACCCGATCTCATGAGAAAATGTAGCTATTTTCCGAGTTGGTGATTTCGTATGAATTCAAATCATTTATTTTATTATGCAAAAAGCGTTAAGGTGCATTTTGATAATCTATACAAATGAACACAACTTTTATCAATTTTGAAGTGTAAATACAATCAGCAGAAGTCAAACGCTAAGCGTAGGTTATAAACAAACTACACCACGGTGGCAGGAGTTCAACTTCACCATCACTAAGCTTCTGACAACTCTTTCAGTCTTTGTTTAAAAACATTTCCCCTGAAAGTTCGAGTTTTAATAGTTCGCAAGAGTGAAATTAACACAATAACAGAATAAATATTAACAGAATAAACACAATGAGGCTGTGAAAGCAACTAGTTATTAGAAGTTTTTACCTGTTTGACTGATGATGTTTAATGTCCCCGACAACCGTGGTCCCATTTAGCCAGCCTTTTATAAGATGAGTAAAAGCTTTAAAAGGCTACAGACTACAAAGGTTGTCTGGGACATTAAATTACATCAGCTGAAAAGGTAAACTCATCTATACATTAGTTTTTACAGCCTTGCTGTGTTTATAGTCGCAGTCTTTATGGTGACGTTGAAGTGATGATACCGTGTAAAAGTTTGTTTATAGCCTGCATTTAGCTTTTGACTTCTGCAGATTGTATTTGCTTCAAATTTCATAAAAGTTGTGTGTGAAGATTATCATGATTAACAAATATGTAAGAATCATGAGCTTCTATGAGTCACAGACCTTATTTTCTGCAATAAAAAAAGCCAATGGAAAAATCATATTGGCTTTTTTGTCGAGTGAACCAGGGTGATGCCAACTTCCAGGTTGGCTTACAAAAATATATCAGTAATTCAGCACTCTATTGTGTCAGTCTATTGTCTGTGATTTTATTTTAAATCAGTCTATTCCTATTGTTTGACTTGATTTGTATATCAGCACCGGAAATCAAAGTGGCCTTCATGTATACTCATGAATATATAAAAAAAGCCATTTGAATCATATACAAATGCATTGTACCATTTTTCTCAAGATGCACTGTGATATTCCCACATACTTTCAAAATTAAAAATGCAATAAGTATTAACTGTCCATAATTTAATTCCAAAATACAACGTTTGGGTAACCACAACAGTAAAGTTGTGGTTAAAGAATAGTTGATTGTTCTTCACACTGTGACACCGGATAAACTATCTATGCAAGAACTTGAAGGCACCTCAGGACAACTTGAGCGAACAGCTACCCAGCTACGCTTAGGAGAGATTTGTTGCAAGAGAATTATTGCATGCTGCGAAGAGTTATTGCAATCGCTTCTTCCACCTTTGCTCTTATAGAGAGTGAAAATCACAGCACTTCAGGACTTCAGCAGGAATACCATCCTTTGCCGGGTGCCTTAGGGGCAAGGACATCTAGTGCTGCATTCAATTCCTCTAGGGTAGGTTCCATATACAGCTTATCCAGCACAGGCAGGCACTCAATGGCATCCAGGGCGTCCTCGGAGACCATGTTTTCCCCGGCATATAACTCTGAGTAGTCCTCCACTCATCATTCCATCTGCTTCTTGTATTTTCTTCCCTATGACAGACTTCAGGTGTGGAGTCTTCTTTTGTGTAGGACCCAATGCCTGCTTGATGCCATAATACATCCTCTTGATGTTTCCAGAATCTGTGGCAGACTGTATCTGGGAGCAAAGATGTAGCCAATAATCATTGGCAGATCACCAAGCCACCTGCTGAATCTTACTTCTACTGCAAGTTTTGTTGATTGGGCCAAGTCTTATAAACGGCCATTGCAGGTCTCTTTGCTTCAATGACTGGCCCTGTCACCTTGGCATTGGCTTCAAACTAATCTGCAGACTTTTTTGTCTTATTGCCAAAGATGGAAATGACAGTACTGTGCACAGCATCTGTTGCTCTCTCTCACTTGCATTGCTGTTTATTTGGCCTGGAAGGAAGAAAGCCCTATTTAAGTTGGGAGTTTTCATTGAGCTGTGTTCAGTCTTGAGCCCACCATCTATGAATTTCCTGAGTTCTAGAAGAGTTAAGTTCTGTTTCTCTGTTGCCATTGGGCTTAGTTTATGTTTTGTTTTGTAAAGCTATGACTGCTCTTTTGTTTGTAATTGAGAACTGAGATCAAGTAAAGACTGCCTGCTTTTGAGTTATCTGAGCCTCCTAGTTTGCTTTTGCTTCTGCACATGGGTCTTCTACAAACTGTCTTCCCAGTAGACCAGAGGTAGAAAAATAGCTTTCTCTGACCAAGAGACCCGGGTTCTAGACCCACCTTCCACACTTTATGTCAGTCAATTGTGACAGTTTCCTTGTGCCTGTGGTTATTGACCTGTTTATCAGGTTATCACCTTAAAAACCCATGCACCCAGTGGGGTTACCAGACCGTGGCAATGTAGCAACCAACTGTCTGGGGGCTGCCCAGCTTGAGGCAGGCGTTATACCCAAATGAGACACAATGGTCTCTCCCACCATCAGAAGCAACCCCTGGCGATTCACTTTACCGGTAGAGGCTTTTCACTTTTACTTTAACCGGTAGAGACTGTTGCTTCCCTTGTTGATTTGACACTGCATAGTGAAGCTGGAGTGGCCTCTCTAGTGCGTGAAGCCCAGCTAAAAATGTTATGGAAAACAAGGTGTTACCCATGCATCAGGTCAGAAAGATCCAAGGAAGGTACAACTTGGTTTTGATGCCGTCGCAGGAGTTGCCAGAGCTGCCTTCGGGACTCCAACTCTGGATTTATCCTCAGGGTTGACCCATGAAGCCTTACCCATGGCTAGGTATAGCCACAAGGCAGCAGAGGTGTCTCACCTTCACCTCTTCTCCTGTCAGTGGAAATGGTTCCGCCGGGTTTAGATGCTAAACCACACATGAAGGCCGTGAGCTGGACTTGGTTGTAAGAGGCTAATTGAGAAACCTTTGGAACATTCATAGTCTCTGTACGAATTCATACAAATTAGAGATGAAATTCATAATCACATTTGTAAGTTTTTAGACTATCTGATTACTCCTCAGTGACGGGTATGTTTATGTTTTAGGGTATGTTTAATTTTTTTGCAATTCACATCATACAAATTCAAATGAAATCCCCACCTCAGAACATAATTATTTTCCCTGTGAGATCAGGTTGGATAAAAAAAAAATCTTTAATGTCAATAATTTTGGATCAATATGTCTCCCAAATGTGTCAGTTTAGTTCTGAATAGGCCGTCTTTATTATTAGACTAGTAATATTCAGTCTATTACAAATTTAATTTGTTCAATTTCAGCTTATAAATTGCTCCAAAAAATAGTACGTGTTTTAGAGCAGTATGCTTTTTAAACATGATTGTATCTTCAAATATCTATTATCTTTACAATCCTGTCATTTCCTCCTAAAGGGCGCAAGTACCAGTACCAGTTTATAAAAGAAAGCAAGACATGGCAAGATGCTCAGAGTTACTGCAGAGCGAGATTCACTGATCTGGCCACTGCTGACAACATGAGCGACGTGAGTTTGCTGGTAAATACAGTGGATGCTGGATACAGTGGTTCAGTATGGATAGGTCTCCACAATGGAGCAAAGTATCGCTGGGTCTGGTCTTTGGGCCCACTGTCCCAGTACAGTAACTGGAATCCAGGAGAACCAAATGGTGATGGGGAGTGTGTGAGGAGTTTTAATGGAAGCTGGTACGATGAGAGCTGCAGCACCGTTCTCCCATTTGTGTGTTTCAATGGTGAGTCCTCAAATCTGGTTCATTTTCCCCCATACTTTAGCTGATCCTGGACTAAGGGCTGGTCTTTATCTGCTGTTTCTGAACAGACAGCACTGGTTTCATCATCACTGAGACTGCTATGACATGGAGAGATGCTCAGAGTTACTGCAGAAAACAACACACTGATTTGGCGAGTATCAGCAGCGCAGAGCAGCAGAATCTGATCAGTAATCATGCATCACTCTGGATTGGTCTGTTCCTGGACTCTTGGGAATGGCCTGATCGCAGGAATCTCAGTTTCAGAAACTGGGCAGCAGGACAACCATCCCAGAGTTCAGGATCTGGTGACTGCGTCGGCGTGTCAACAACTGATTCTGGGAAATGGGCTCAATACAGCTGTGATCTAAAGCATCCTTTTATCTGCCATGGAGGTGAGTTTCCACAGTTAACAGAATCAAATGATTCAAACAACATATTTATAGATCATTCTTGAAATAGAAATTACAAACAACTGTCATTGATATATATAGGGATGTAACGATTCACTCAACTCACAATGCGATACGATACGATTCACGATACTGGTTTCACGATATGATTTTCTCACGATTTTTTTTAACAAAATATGACTTAAGACAAATTGAAAAAGAGTCCTTTTATTTCTCAGACAAAATGCAGCAAATTTATTTGTAAAATTGAAATACATTTTATGCCAAATAATAACACGAAATTGACATTTTAAACAAATCCCCAAAAAGACCCTCCAGGAAGATCTTCCAATGCTGTTTTCATGTTTCAGCTCAGTCTGTCTGTTGCAGGCGGTGATACTGGCACCTACTTCACCCTCATCTAGCACAAAGTGTAATTTAAGTACAAGAGTGACAGGGGTTTCACATTGTTATAAAGGCAAGATTTTAATATTATTTCTTATAATTTGTATCATTACATTTGCAAGAGTTAGAAAAACAGAACACATTTAGAAAATATGCCATATTAATCAAATTATTTAAAAACAAAAATCCATGTACACATTTAGAGAAAGAAATAGTAAATAAATACAACACCTGGCAATGCAATTGCACAGCTTTCTCATTAAGTCTGTGGAATACTTCTTCGTGCTGGTCTTTCTCTTGATGAGGCAGAGCCTGGAATGCATTTATTACGGTAGAAAACAAACAGCCTCATATCGTTTGCCATGAAAATACAGATGCACCTTGATCTCCGTGGCTCAAGGGGCTGTAATTCCGCCAGTCAGTTTTGTTTGCCTATTAATATCTATTTACATGCAGATGGTTGTGACTAGAGCTTCTTACTGTGGTGATTATTAGTCAAAAGTCAAAATTTCAAAGAAGTTGAGCTTCACGCTCACGCGTGCTCACAAACTCCATTGGAATGAACTGAAAATGCTCGGCACCAGTGTGCACACACCATCCATAAAGCTAGCTACAACTTACAAAAAGCGAGGTCACAGTATAGTAAACGCCCCTGCTGATTAAAATATGTCTCGCGATTCGTTAAACATCTCAACCGACTTGAATCGTGACGTTTTTATCGATTTTCAACCGGCTCGGAGTGCATCATTACATTTCTATTGATATATCTTCTGTGTTGATGATGACGAACTCTTAATTTCTCTAGATGACACGTTAATTAAAAGGCAGATTGTCAGACTGAAATTCTCCTGTAATGGAGAATGCGCATTGAATGATCCTTCACTACAGACTGCCATTCTGAATGAGGTTTGTTTCTGCCTTAAAAATAATGTTCAGTTTCAGTGTCAAATTTTGGATGCTAACAGTACCATGACAGACGCCCAGAAAATCCAATATCATTGTGCTTGTGAGTTTTGAGCAGGCAACTCTCATATCACATTGTTGCTGTTATTAGGTTTGGACTTTTTATTATTATTATTTTGCTGGTCTTCCAGATCAGTGAAAAGCTGAAGAGCTTGGGGTTGGAAAGTGACAGCAAAATAAACTGGAGAAAAGGTGAAGGTGAAGAGGTGTTTCATCAGAAGATCACTCGTACAGCGAGTTCCAAAGGAAAATGTAATGAAAAGTAATCTGTTATTTACATCTTTATATAAAAATTATTGATATATATAAGAATAAAGGGGGTTTTATTTTTAGTCAACTAGATTGCTTTAAGGAATTGTGAAGTAGTTGTAGTAGAATTATCTATATTATTTAAACACCTTAAAGTGTCATTTTATGTAAAATATACCATTTACTATAGCTTCTAGAGTCTAGTTTCTAGAGTATATGCAGAAAAAAAGAGTGAAAGTATGATGATTTCTTTCTCATAATGAATCTGAAGAAATTTGATTGGCAGAAATCAATCTGATATTATTTCCATTTTCGGGTGATGCCTAGATGTTTCAAATTTAAAAATTATATATACAGTATATATAGTGAGCTTTTCTTTTGAAATTGGTGACACATTTAAGTAACTTTAATATGCTATGTGTTTACAATCAAATTCACTTTGTAAAACTAAAGATTAGAAATTCAGATATTATTAATTCATCAACATTGGGGGAATTACACTCTCTCTCTCTCTCTCTCTCTCTCTCTCTCTCTCTGCATTCTGAGATAACATGAATGATAAATAATAGATATATAGATATAGTAAGTATATATATTATATATTAAGTATATATGCTGTGTTCAAAATAAAATTTACTTTGTAAAACTAAAGATTGGGAATTCGACTTTTATTATTTTATTAACATTGTAGGCCTATTAATGGAAATCTCTCTCTCTCTCTTTCTCTCTCTATCTCTCTCTGAGCGGATGTTGAGAGTGAGTGGGTAGAGTTAGCGCACGTGAGTGGAAGAGAACGCTGTTGAATGAGTGAGTTTTTCTATCTTTTGCGGTTTGTTTGTGTAAATCTTTTGTTTGGCAAACATATTGTTGAGAAAGAGACTCTGGCCGTTATGGCAGCGTCTCAAAATTTGGATATGTTAGCGCGGAAGCATGGTATTAAAATCATCCCCGCGGAGAGTTGTTCTGTTAAGGATTGCACAATTGCAGTCGCTGAAGAAGTTGGATACTCTAGTATTTTGTCTGCAGCTAGAATGAATAGTGCTGTAGTGATTTTTTTTTAATAGTGTAGAGAAAGTCATTGACGTTGTAGTGAAAGGGATTGTCGTCAACAGTGTTTTTACCCCGGTAATGCCTTTGGTCCAGCCGGCTAAAAGGATTACGCTTTCAAATGTACCGCCATTTATCAGAGATGATATGATTGAAAGGGAATTAATGAGACATGGTAAAATTGTGTCTAAAATCAGGAAGATTGCGTTAGGTTGCAAGTCACCTCAGCTGGAGCTAAGTTTTGTCATGAAATTTAAGGTGGACTACTACGATTTATGCACCTTCAAAAAGTATGAAGTGCTTTGGTTGTGGTCACGAGGGACCTATCATTGGTGCACTGTAAGAAATTTACTGTAAAATTTACAATAATTTACTGGCAACTTCGGTTGCCAGTAAGACTGTAAAAATTTACAAGAGTCCTGTAAATCATTAACTACAACTATACTGTTAAACTTACAAGAGTCCTGTAAATCATTAACTACAACTATACTGTTAAACTTACAAGAGTTCTGTAAATCATTAACTACAACTGTACTGTAAAATTTACAGTCTTACTGGCAACCAAAATTGCCAGTAAGACTGTAAAAATGTACACAATTACTGTAAATCATTAACTACAATTGTACCGTAAAAACACAGCACACTGCTGTATATATATGTATTTCCTGTAAAATTGTCTTTACAGCTGTAACTCTAAAATTAGTCGAAATAATGTTTATGAATGCAAGAGAAATTACAAGAGCAACTATGAACTTACATGTACTGCTATACATTTTACAGTAGAGCATTTACTGTTGAATTTAATTCACTATCACAGCAGTGAAAAATCTCAACTGTAGTTAGTGTAAACATACGTTTGCTTTAAGTTTCAGCCTTTTTGTCAAATAAAACTCACAATAACAGGTTTTCGTAAATATAACAAATTTATTGTGCAATAATGTCTGTTTAACATAAGCACCAGATTCCAAAATATATTTGGAAAAACACAAATGGAGATTGCACATTAAATGAAAGGCTTTAGCCTTGGAAAGAACCACTGAGAACAGAAGCATTTAAAGGATTAGTTCATCTCAAAATGAATATTTCCTGATAATTTACTCACCCCAATGCCATCCAAGATGTTCATGTTTTTCTTTCTTCAGTGGAAAAGAAATTACGTTTTTTTAAGAAAACATTTCAGGATCTTTATCCACACAATGGATTTCAACCGCAAACCTAACCCTAACATGTTGAAGTCCAAATCAGTGCAGTTTCGAAGGGCTCTGAAGTGCTTCAAAGGGCTCTGCACGATCCCAGCTGAGGAATAGGGTCTTATACAGCGAAACGATCTGTCATTTTCTAAAATATATATATATAATATATATATATACTTTTTAACCACAGATGCCTGTCTTGTACCATCTCCGAGATGCGCTACAGCGTATTACTTTATCAAGTTGGAAAGGTCGCGAACATTTAAAAAGAAAATAATAAAATATTTTTCACCCTTCCCTACCTTTTTGAACCGGAGTACACAGACAAATAACTTAAACTGATAACGTGACCCGATGACGTGTCGCAGACCAGCACAAGATGAACAATTGTGGTTAAAAAGTATCTACTTTTTATTTTTTTAAATAACCGATCGTTTCGCTGTATTCGATCGATCGCCCTATTCCTCAGCTGGGATCGTGAAGAGCCCTTTGAAGCACTTCAGAGCCCTTTGAAACTGCCCTGATTTGGACTTCAACATGTTAGGGTTAGGTTTGCGGTTGAAATCCATTGTGTGGAGAAAAATCCTGAAATGTTTTCCTCAAAAAACCTAATTTCTTTTCCACTGAAGAAAGAAAAACATGAGCATCTTGGATGGCATTGGGGTGAGTAAATTATCAGGAAATTTTCATTTTGAGGTGAACTAATCTTTTAAATATCAATTATAAAGGGCACACATCCCTAAAGTGTGACTGAACTTCAGTCATAAACAAAAGAAATGGTCTAAATTGTGCCTACCTTTAATTTGCCAAATCCATAAAAATGGCAAGAATACTTGAACCTCAATCATGAACTTCAGGTCAGAGTCTCTTGTATCAATTCCTTTGGAATACTTATGTTTAAATGACAAGCCATTCAAAGTCCATTGGCTTTCGTAACAGTGTGCATACATGTGTGTTCATTCCATGCATTTTCTTGTCTCGCTTTCCAGCAGCAACTTTTGATCCAGTTTCCGGGTTAATCCCCACAAGTCCTCTGTGGAAAAAAAAACACAACATCCAATTATCAAAAAAAAAACAGTATACACTTAGACAAAATACATAATTTGTCAGACAACTCATAAATTACATTTAATGAAGGGTCATATT